GAAATTAGGGTTTAGGAATTGGGATTTTTGAAACTAGGGTTCTTGGAAATAGGGTTTTCGAAAATAGGGTTGATTTGAAGTTAAAAATCAAAATCTGACTGAAATAATCGATTAAATGAAGTGTTAATCGATTATTACAGAGCCAAAATCAACAGAACCCCAAAACTCTCTGTTTTAATCGATTAAAAAACCTGTTAATCGATTAACAAGCCTGTTGTTAATCGATTAAATCAGTGAGCAGATATAGAAAATGGTTTTTCTCACTATTTTAATCGATTATTTCACCAATTAATCGATTAAAGCCGAGCCCCTTTGATAAATTTGAGCTTTTTGAAGCTTCTAAGGGTAGACTATGTGCCAGCTATCTCAAACTCTAATATTACAGACTCAATCTAATCAAAATAGAGTTATTACACATTAAAACAAGTCTTCAACTCTACAAGTCTTGTGTTCTTGAATCATCATCAAAATCAACAAGCTTCATGTCCATCAAGTTCAACATCAAGTCCTTGAATGTTCAACAATAACTTGTGAGATTATTAACTCATTGTCATTGTGTTAGGGACAAAAGCATGAAGTTTGAAACCTGACTTGAGGAATTGTTAATCAAGAATCATTCATATGAGTTGAATTTCTCAAATATTTTTGTATATCCCAGAAAAACCAATAATTTTTTCTTAGCTCAGCCCCATTACAAGCCTCAAAAGACCTTTTGATTTAAGTCTTGTTTAACAATTATTGATTTCTTGAAGATGATTATCAATATTGGATTGTCTAAATGAAGTGATTGAATGAGATAAATACTTACCTGTGAGAATTAGAAATGGGTATATATAACTCTATTTGAGAGATCATGCTTCTCTGAGGATAGTTGAGGACTAATTATTCTTTGTTGATTTCTATAACTTGAATGCTTATGTATTCTATTTTCATTTGGAGTTGTGAGCATCACCCCTGAAAATTTTTATGTTGTGGTTCTAGAAGAGAAAGAGATAATAGGTGATGATTTTGTTTTGGAAAAACTACTTTGCTTGGGACAAGCAAGATTCTAGGTTGGGGGGAGTTGTTAAGTGGTAAAAAGTTGATATAATTATGCCTTGAATTGTTATAAAACCACTTAACTTATGTTAATTCTAATATATTTTTCTCCCAATATAGGATAAATTCGAGAATATATTGATACAAGAGTAAGGAGCATAATTGTCAGCATAATTGGAGTAAAATTGAAAGAAAGAAGAGCGCTTAAGCGAATGAATGATGCGAGGCCCGACCCAAATTCTCTAATAAAAAGATAAGTTGTGTTTTGAGAAGGGAAAACAGTCTTGGAGGAGAGGAGGCACGACTACTATTAGGGTTTTGTCTAATCGTCATCAATTTTTCACTTCTTCATCAATTGGAGCATTGTAATGGCCAATATGAGTGGCTAATTTCATTATCTTAGGATTCGGTGCACTTCCTTTGAACTCTTTTGTATCATGGTGATATTTTGAGATATTAATCTATGCTTTGATGTTGTTATTCTTATCCTTTATGCTTTGGAATGATTTATTCTTGATTGTTTGAGGTATGATTGGAAAATATATCTTGAACCCTAGATCACGGTAAGAATATTTGTTACGATAATTGCCAGGAATGGAATGAATGTATCAATTGCTTAACACCCTAACCCTAATGCTGGAAAATCTGTTAATTGTGTGATGAATCAACATTTATTAGGTTTTCTTATGAATTTCATGTGTGAGGAATCAACATGGATGATTTGAGTAAGTGGCATCAACATTGTTAGGTTAATTGACGTTCTTAATTGACATAGCCATTACAAAAGAGGGATAAGGAAGGAAGTCAATCCTAAGTACCTTTAATTGATATTTTCTCATCAATTTACAGTTCTTTGTCATTTCAATTCAACTCAACTCTTATTTGCAAAACCCAATCTGTTTAATATACTTAGTAAGCATAATTGAGAATTTTCATTGAGATTGTTCCTCGTGGGATCGACTTTTATTTTATCGAAATACTATACTGCGATTGATAATTTTGGTACGTTTGCCAATAATTCAACAGAAGGCTCACCCCATAAATACAACTCAGCAAATAGATACAAACAAGAAGATAAAAGAGAATAAAGAAAGATTACTCCTTTGCAAGCTAAACTCTAGTAATAGAAAGGGTATTTTTGACTCTGAAGATCATCTACTTGAAGTAAAAGATTTTGATTTTCTTTAACCTTAACAGATAAGGCCAACTCATGATTGGATAAAGTGATCTAAAGTTGATTTCGTTGTTCGATTTAATTAAATATAACTTCACAATTTACGCAATGAATCACTTAAACACCATACAGATTTTTTATCTTAATATTACTCAAAATTTAGCATACAATATATTTCAACTAGAGATTCGCATTCAATTTTTATTTCCAGCATGATTTGAAATATCTAAAGTAAATTGCTAGAATAATAAAAGGTAATAAAATTAATTGTTGAAAAGTAAATGTGCAAAGAAAGTAAATTGCAAAAAAATAAATTTAACCCATTACTAAGGATAGAACGAAAATTGATAGAGAAAATCAATAAAATTGACGATCCAAATTGAAAAGAATTTCATTGGAAATGCTTGTTCTCAATTTGTAGTGTTTATCAAAAAATAAGTCTTTGTACAATTTTAATATCAGCCAGTACCAAAGTGATGTAAATAAAAATAAGAAATAAAATTTTCGAACAGTTATTTTCTTATAAAAACTGGATTATAACTATCTTCACCGATCTTTCCATCTATCACATGAAGATTTTTTAACATAGTCCTTTTTTATATCTTGTTTCTTCCATAAATTATGTCTTTTAATTTTAATGTTAACTTCAATGTTCTTTAATTCTTAAATATTCGATTCTCGATTGATTAACAATGATCTGACTCCTTCGATATCTCTCAAATCTCTTTCTTCGTTAATATTTCTTCTTCATTAACATTTCTTGATCAATTTCCTACATTGATTTTTTACTATTATCGACGTCTTCTCAATTATGACTTAAGATCTCTCGTTGTAGTCCATGGATTTGAATCGAGCATATATTTCTCGCCTAACTATGGCTCAGAAATTCTGGTGTTGGATTCGAGAAGTTTTTGGCTTAATGAATATTTCTTTCTCTTCTATTGATGGGATTGTGTCCCTACTTTTCAGAAATTACAGTACCCAAATCAAAGACATCTTCACTGCAGCTGTCATTAATATTATTTGGGCCATTTGAAAGATGAATGCCGATTTAATATGTTAACTTTCAGTAGTGCTCTTGCATTAGTTAAAGTTAACGTTGCCACCTTTAAGATGTTATTCAATGGAGTTATGAGCAATAAAGAAATGGAGATGATGGTACTTAAGTACTTCGGTATTGATAGTCATTTATCTGTAGTTGATAAGATTAAACAGGTCTTGCGATTCATCCTAATGCTAATGTGGTAATATAGGGTTGCAAAACAAACTTTTGTTTGAATATATCAGTATTTGTTTTGAAAATAGGATTTTTTATTTTAAAATAATTGAATTTTAATTAAATTAAAATAAAACTAAAAAATCTATATAAAATTGATAAAATAAAAAAATGCCTACTTTTTTTAATCAATTTTAATAAAAATAAATAAATAAATAAATTTAAAAATTAATTTTTAATATAATTTTTTATAAAATATATAATATATTTTAGTTTTGTTATCTTATATTAGTTATATTCATTTTAAATAATAATTATTTATTATATTTTTATCTTATTTTGACAATTATTTATTTTATATTTTCTAATATATTTATTATTTATAATTAAAGACCAGAGTTATAAAGATCATGTTTATAATTTTTTTAAAATAAAATTACAATTTATATTTTTTTATTTATTAAATATATATATATATATAATATGTTTATTTCCTTAATAATACACGTCTCTATTTATAATCTTTATTATAATTTATAATAATAATAATCTTTATTATTTTTTATAAAAAAATTATTATTAATAAATTTATCATACACGTATTATATTATAAAATATTATTTTATCAAATTAGATTTTGATTAAATTTTTAAATTTAAATCCATGTTTTTACTAATTCAACTACCTGATTTTAAATACGATCGTTGTATTATCTTATATAATTCTTGATTTTTTTAGGAATAAATTTGGTCAACCCTAAAGATAAGTTTTCTTAATGGGTTTTGATTTGTTGTCCATTAACTCATAAAATATTTTTCTTTTATATGAATATCCGTGTTGGAAGTATTGATGAGATTGAAGTGCTTATCTAATTAAAATTTTATTGTTTATTGTGATATGTAAAAAAATATTTTGTCATAAAATATTTAATTATTTATCGTTAAGAGTAAATATATATTTTTTTAACTAAAAAATACTTATATTCTCCCTTGTAGGAATAATTTTGTGGAAAACTTGATCTTAAATAAAATGATGTCTCAAACATTTTTAGTCTTCGTCATGAATAGAGCGAATCGGACCCAAAAAAAAGCCCAAATTTTCCACTCGTTTTTGACCAAAAATAGCTATGATAAAAAAGTAGAAAGAAATAAAATTTTATTACACCTCACAGATGAATGACGGAAAACGTGGTTTTTATTGGGTGTTGTGACGTGACACGTAATATGATAGGCGGAAATAGGTAGGAGGAGGAGATCTAGAAAGAGAGAAGTAAGAACGGCGAAGCGGTATATCACATCTCACCACCACTATCTTTGGATGAGCCAGATGTCTGACTAGATCTCACAACAGATTTCTTTCCACTTCTAGTAGTGACAATAAAAAAATATATATTTTTATTTATTTATTTATTTCTCACTCTTCAGTAAGGTTATTTCTGCGTAATTCTTTACGTTTCTCTGAGGAAACTTTTTTTCTTATTCACTCATCTACTCGTACTCATTCAAATCACCTTTCCATTGTTTGTTACAATCGAGTTAGGGTTTGACAATTTAGAGAGAAAGAGAAAGAGAGATGGGAGAATCGAAAGGATTCCCAATGGCTTTGGGGCTATTGTGCATGCTTCTCTTCTTCACTGCTTCCTTTACCTCTCTCATCGTTCGCGCTTCTGATGACGCTGACGACGCGGTAATTTCCAGATTCCTTTACCTCTCTCATCGTCAATAATTGTTATTATTACTATTATTTTGTGTTGGATCTCTCTCATTGAGGAATGTTTGTGGCGTGTAGATCTTCTACGAGTCGTTCGACGAGGATTTTGATGGACGATGGATTGTATCCGGCAAGGAGGATTACAAAGGTGATTTGATTCTCTGAATATCTTGTTTTCTGTGCTAACTACGTGTTTTTTTTTTCAACATTGATAAGATTTACTCATGCATCCAAATTGAATTTTAAAATAAAACTAAAAAAATCTATATAAAATTGATAAAATTAAAAAAAAAAGTTTGTTTTGATTATAGTGAGAAATGAGTCACTTCATACACTCCTGCTAAGATCATGTTATTATAGTGAGAAATGAAACAATGAATATAAACCATTGGATCTTGATTTACTTTGAATGGTCAAGATCAAATCTAGTTAAAATTAGTTTTGACAGTTTGATCTCATAACTAAGATACTCTATTGTCGTACTCTTAGCTTACATGTATTCTTTCTCTCAGTATACTATATTTGGGGAACCTCTTGAAATTATTCTTTTAGATTATGTTGACCCAAACCCAATTATAAATTTTTGAACTGTGGGAATCTTTTTGAGAAATCTCAAGTATAAGAGTGGCAATGATGAAATTTTTTTATTATGTGTTACATTACTAAATAATAATAATAATAATAATAATAATGGATGACGATTACTTTAATTATTATAATGCAGAATCAAAGATAATAACTCTTTTTGATAAATTTAAATGTTTGACTTATGTATTCCAGCAGCAAGGGTGCATTTGCAAAATGATTGTATACCGACCATGACTATTTCACCAGTCATTAACTAGGATTTTGGTGGTCACTTGATATAATAATGGTTAATTCTCATAAATTTCCCAGTTGAAGGTGCTTTTAGGATGAAAAGACTGCTTTGAAAGGATGAAATGTCAAATTATGTTTCACTTGTTTATATATTTGAATATCCGTGACCACACTTCCTTAAAATTGGGCCAGGAATTTTCCCAGCTTCAAGCTTCATTTTATTTTTTTCCTTAATTTTGGGGTGCATATTTGAAAGAGTGTAGATCTTTTTTTTTTTCACTGGTACAATAAAAGCTTATAGGTTTTAACACCTATTGCAAACTGCTTAAACCCTTATATCCTGATTTCATATATATTATGATCTACCAAATTTTGATGTGTACTTTGTTTGTGTCCTAGGTGTCTGGAAACATGCTAAGAGTGATGGACATGATGATTATGGACTTCTTGTTAGTGAACAAGCCAGGAAATATGCTATAGTCAAAGAACTTGATGAGCCTGTCAGTCTTAAGGATGGAACAGTTGTTCTTCAGTTTGAGACTCGCTTCCAAAATGGCTTGGAATGTGGTGGTGCATATATTAAATATCTTCGACCCCAGGAGAGTGGATGGAAGCCAAAGGAATTTGACAACGAATCTCCATATTCTATCATGTTTGGTCCTGATAAGTGTGGTGCTACAAACAAGGTGCACTTCATTTTCAAGCATAATAATCCAAAGAATGGGGAGTACGTTGAACATCATCTCAAGTATTCGCCTTCTGTCCCATCCGACAAACTATCTCATGTTTACACTGCAATTCTGAAGCCTAATAATGATTTGCAAGTATTGGTTGATGGTGAGGAGAAGAAAAAGGCAAATTTCTTATCTTCTGAGGATTTTGACCCTCCTCTTCTCCCTGCCAAGACAATCCCTGATCCTGATGATAAGAAACCTGAGGACTGGGACGAAAGAGCCAAGATTCCAGACCCAAGTGCTGTGAAACCAGATGACTGGGATGAAGATGCACCCATGGAAATTGTAGATGAAGAAGTAGAGAAACCAGAAGGATGGTTAGATGACGAGCCAGAGGAAATAGATGACCCAGAGGCAACAAAACCAGAAGACTGGGATGAGGAGGAAGATGGTGAATGGGAAGCTCCAAAGATTGAAAACCCGAGGTGTGAGGAGGCCCCTGGTTGTGGTGAATGGAAGAGGCCAATGAAGAGGAATCCAGCTTATAAGGGAAAATGGAGTGCCCCTTACATTGACAACCCCAGTTACAAGGGCATATGGAAGCCTCGGGAGATTCCAAACCCCGACTACTTTGAACTCGCGAAACCTAATTTTGAGCCAATTGCTGCTCTTGGCATTGAGATTTGGACAATGCAGGATGGCATACTATTTGACAACATGTTGATTGCTAACGATGATAAAATCGCTGAATCCTATCGGGAGACTACGTGGAAGCCCAAGTTTAACATTGAGAAAGAAAAACAAAAGGATGAAGATGCGGCAACAGGTTCAGATGGTATTACAGGCTTCCAGGTAATGGAAATTTTTTTGTGTTTTTTCTCACTTTTACTCTCTCCTAGCACCCAACCTTCTTTCATATGCATGACGTCAATTTCTGACCTTGCAGAAGAAGGTATTTGACCTCTTATACAAGATTGCGGACATTCCCTTCCTGAGCGAACACAAAACTAAGATCTACGTAAGTATAGAATATTCAAACTACCAACTTTCTTTTCTTTTGGTACCCGTCATACGTCTTTTATTGGAATGACATATATATACACTTTCATGCTTTCCTGCAGGATCTCATTGAAAAAACTGAGAAACAACCAAATCTCACTATTGGAGTTATTGTAGCGGTTGTGGTTATCTTGCTGTCAATTTTCATCAGGATCATATTTGGTGGCAAGAAACCCGTGAGTAGTGCAATTTTTTCCCCACGCTCATTCATTTTTCTTTTAATTCTGTTTGAATCTCATTCATGCCTGTTGTGCAGGCAAAGGTGGAGAAGAAAACAGAACGCACAGAAGCTTCCAATGGTGGAGAGAATGAAGAAAACAAAGAGAATGAGGAAGCATCTAATGCTCCGCGCCGGAGAACAAGACGAGAAAATTGAAATAGCTGAACAGGGGCGCCCTGTTAAGTATATCATCGCCACAGATAAATTTTGGGCTTATTTTGATTTCAGGTGCACTCTGTTGTCATTCTTTTTTCTTTTTTGTAGATCTTCTCTTTTGTGGAGACCGGGTGTTTCAAATTAAAGTTGTACGATTATTATTTTTTCTTTATTTTACTAGTAATGGATTTTGTTTTTACGTATATATCGGAGTACCTAGCTACCTTCCAATAGTTAAACGAAAATTACCATTCAGTATGACGCAATAGAATAATGCTAATTATATGTGGATGAGTGCTTATTAATATTGATTTTGAAGTGAAAGTATATATCTATTTAGAATCAATTTAGAAACATGGGTCTCCAATAGTAATTTTAGTTAACTCAAGTATATAAAACCAGTGATGCATATAAATTTGTACATAGCAATAGCTATTTTTTATGTTGCTAACATATTTTTCACCCTGTAAAATGTGTTGATATAAATTCCACATAGTTTAGATCAAATACGATTTGGTCAAATGGCAGTAATCATTAGAGGACTATCAATTTGTTTTAGATTGAGTTTGCTGAATGTGAAATTTCACAAATTACGCGGTCACAGATACTGCAGAAATAAATAGGGTGTATGATACTCGTTGGCTTCTCCTTGTATGGGTGTGGATTTTGAGATTTTAATTGGAAAATAACAGTGAAAATTCTTTTCAAAAGATCCATTACAGGGCCAACAAAACATACCCTTGAGAAATTTGAGCATATTACTAGATCAAGCTAAGGCAGACCATTATCATTTTCATGACAAATAATGAAAACCATTGTTCGTATTCGAGGACAATGAAGAAATCTAAATTTTCAACAGTCCCTATTCCCGCACACGTATTTTGAAACCATTCCCTACACACCCTTTTCTATCATTTTGCTTTTCTTGTTGCGGTGGACACTCATATTACAATCAAATTAAAAAGAGAAAAGAAGATCAAAGCATGCTGAGAGGAGATCAACACTCAAAATTGGCACTCCATTTGGTGAGTTGTAGTTCCAAGGCCACTGTGGTTTCCGGAGAGAGAGAGAGACTTACTCGCAATGTTATTGATCTTCCTTTATATAGAATTTTTTTCACTGCCATTAAACATTACAACATTGTATGTAAGGGTTAAATTGTTTTTCATGTTCCTTTTAATCAATGTACCCATTTAGGTGGATTTCGTTCCTTAACAACAAATGCATTTTTGTCCTGCTCTATTTTTTTTTTTCCTTTGCATAGTTTGTAGTTCAAGTGTTTATTTACTCAATCCATGTATAGTACTCTAAAGCAACACTAATTTGTCAATGGGGGAGTATGATAAATTCATTGTCATCGGTAAAAAAAAAAAAATTAGTCAGAATCAACCATAAAAAAAATTGACAGATAACAAATTATTTTTAAAAAGAAAAATCTATTGATTCCATAAATAGAAGGATGCGTTGTTAAAAAAGTTATGCTTAAGATAATCAAAATATCCTACATGCATTATTTTGTGAGGTTACACGTTTTTTAAGTACATAGGAACCATGAAAGATGGAGGACAATTTTTCAATATTTCTCTTTTTTTTTTTCAATTTTGTACATATAGTAGCTGGAGGAGCTCAATATTATTAATTTCACAAAATGAACTTTTTAGATTACCTTCATATAATATAAGGGAATGAAGAAGAACATACATGTAATGCTTTTGAAGGGTGAGGATTTGATACGTTACTACTATTACTTTTTTTGTGATGCATATTAACTTCCACGACAAATCTTTGTGATGGTCCTTAGAAACAGAGAAACATATCATCAAAATTAATGGATTGACTTTTTCTTATACATTAAATGGTATGTATTGTGTAGGACTTCAAATTTAGTATGTAAACTTTAGGATAGAGAGAATAGGTAAGATTAGTCACTGTTGAGATTTGTTGTTTATGTATTTTTAGTATTCTTTTTCAATGTTCTTTAAACTAGGATTAAGGGTTTGGGCTGAGGTTCATATCTTCTCTATTTTATCTATTTTCTATAAATACAATATATCAGTTTCTTTGGTCACTGAATCAAATCCTATATAAGTTTTCTCAAGTTGTTATCAAAGCAGGTAAGATCCCGCATTGATTTTCGGTCACCGTTGTCAGCTTCGGCCGCTATTAGCCGTCGTATGCCGTCATCACTGTTGGCCACCGTCTCCGTTTGGATAGGCGAAGGAGGGGTTTTTGATGTGGACATAAAGGCCAAAGCCCATAACGAGAAGGATCAAGACCAAAATCCAATCCAAGACTTAGGTGGACCTATAACAAGAGGCAGACTCAGAAAAACACAAGAGGCATTACAATACAAAGTGACAAATTTGCTAAAGTTCCAACTAAAAGATTTGGTTTTTATTATTATTTTATTTGGTATAGTGTGGATTTGAACCCAAGACCCAAAGCTTATAATACCTTCACTGAACCATCTAAGCAACTTAACTTTGCTTGGGATATTAGGATTTTAATTTATCTTTATTTTCTGTAATGAGACAAACTCATAAACTTAAGTTGTATTAAACATTTGAAAATTCAGAATGAACGTACGTAATATTCATAATCACTTTGTGAGTTGTTGCTCTGTTAGGGTTCTTCCTTGCATCACTTGATCTTATCAAGAATTATTCGATTCTTGTGGCGATCCTTTTTGGCTTATCAAATATTCTTATTTGTTGCGCCTACTTTATGTTTTTTCTGTTTTCTATTTCCAATCAAATCAACTTTTAAAACTTAACCCTAAATTGTTTCCCTTCTATTCGAGTGTCGTTATTTGGTATTCAGAGCAAGGTTAAAAAGTGGTACTATTCATCGACATCTGTTCATTTGTCACTCGTTCACGTGTACTCGTTCAAAATAAAAAACCTGCTTGTTTATGCAATTTTGATATTGAATTTTATTTATATATATATATATATATATTAAAGTTGTGTTTGAAATTAGTTTTCTGCAGAAAAGAATAAAAAAAAGAAAAGAAAAAAAAAAGAAAAGAAAAAAAAGAAAAGAATCAAAAAAGGAAAGGAATCAAAAAAAGGAAAAGAATCAAAAGAAGAAAAAAATCAGAAAAAAATCAAAAGAAGAAAAGAATCAGAAAAGGAAAAAAAAATATATATATATATATATATATATATATATATATGTGTGTGTGTGTGTGTGTGTGTGTGGCAGTTGTTCTTCCTTTAAATTCCAGTGCACATTAGTTGTTTGATAAAATTCCTAAGTGTCAAGTGTCTTTGTCTAATCTTTGTTTTCCCATACAGTTTAGATTTGTCTTGCTTGTTAGTAGTAAACTTGTTCTTTACTACTTGTTCTTTGTTGGTACTACAATTCTGTTTTATTCCTTGTGATTGCTACAGTTGAAAGTGATTCTTAAACTATAGATTGTTTGATTCTTGTAAGAACCATAAGTCAGAGAACGAGTGGAAAAAGGCAAGAGTGCATATTATACAAAAGCTAACAAGGGTAGGAAAAAGGTGGTGTTCCAATCTGGTGATTGGGTTTGGGTACACATGAGAAAGGAAAGGTTTTCTGAACAAAGAAAGTCTAAACTTCAACCTAGAGGAGATAGGTCATTCCAAGTCTTAGAGAAGGCCAATGATAATGCTTATAAGATTGATCTACCAGGAGAGTATAATGTAAGTTCTTCTTTTAATGTTACTGACTTGACTCCTTTTGATGCAAGAGATGAATTCATAGATTTGAGGATAAATATTGCCCAAGAAAGAGGGAATGATGTGGACATAAAGGCCCAAGCCCATAACGAGAAGGATCAAGACCAAGATCCAATCCAAGACTTAGGTGGACCTATGATAAGAGGCAGGTTCAGAAAAACACAAGAGACATTGCAATACAAAGTAACCAATTTGCTAAAGGCCTAACTATTAAAAGATCCAAACATGGAGGAGTCTAGACCTATCACATGCATAAAATGTTTGGAGAGCTAGGAGACCCAACTAAAAGATTTAGTTTTTATTATTATTTTATTTGCTACAGTGGGGATTTGTGTAACATCCTGATTCTCAACACTCCTGGTTTGTTAAATTTTGACAAAATTTTTGTCAAAATTTTAAAAATTAAATTATTAAGAATTGGGTAAAGTAACTGTAGAGTTTTATGTTATTAGATTATTTGTGATTTTTTAGAATTTTTTTGGAATTTTTAGAAAATACTTAAATTTGATCTGTTTCGCGGTCAACTGGGAACCTGATAGTAATTATATGATTTAGGGTTGAAATTTAAAGAGTATGGACTTAACAATTTTAATTGTCACATTTAGAAATTATTGTTTTCTTTTATGCATTGAGTGTGGGTACATTAAAAGTTTACTATGTGTATAAATTGATAAGAAACATATGATGGTTAATATGGTTTAGAGTGATGTTGGAGTCTTTAGGGTTGTGGGTTCAAATCCTAGCTTGAGAAAAAAAGGATAAGTTTTTTTTTTAATGTAATCCGTTGGGCGCATCAGAAATGCGCTGAGCAGATTATGTTTGAAATCTCTATTCCATGCGGCCTGTAATCCGCTGGGCGCATCAGAAATCCGCTGAGCGGATTATTAGGTGAAAGAGTGTCATTCTGCAATCGTAGGTTCATCGTTTCTCTCTTTCTCTCAAAGTTTTTCCTTATCTTCAAACTTGATTTTGAGGGAAAAATCTTGATTTTCTTTAGAAGCTCCAAGAGGTAAGTTGGTTTATCTCAATCTTCTCTACATTTCTACCGTTTTATTTTTCAAAACGGTGCATTTTCTATTTTTCTCCTCACTTGGCTCAGCTTGAATGGGTGTATGAAGAATGTTATTGTAGGTTTTACACCTAGAATACTAGAATAATGCTTAAAATTGAGGATTATAAGTGGTTAAGCTAAAAACTGTAAGAGCCCTAATTCGTAGGTACTATTCATTGAATATTTGGGACTTTTGTGAACAGAATTAGAAATTAGTATCTTCATGAAATTTGTAGCTTTTT